TGTATGTATGTATATATATATATACATACATACATACATATAATATATATTGGAGGTGCTTAGCTAACATTGCAAAAAACAAATTTACATGACACTATTATCCTACTATTTTAAACTGAATCACATTCTATAAACAGAAGGGTTTTTCTGCAGTGTTTCACGTGGATTGGGATTTTTTTTCTTCCATACCCATGGTTCCTCAGGATTTGGTAAAGCCCACAAACCTCTACGATCAGCGCGTGCTTTCTTTTCCGACTGAAAGTAGAAACATGGCAAAAAGTAGTTAAAACTTGCAAAAATTAAAAGACAACTTTTAATGTTACAAAGTACCTCTGCAAATTCTGGACGAGCATCGAAAGCCTTATAATGCCACGCACAGCCTCTCCTCAACAACAGCTCTTGTATAAAAATTCCATTACAATAAACATCCCCAACCGTTCGACCGTATTTATCTACTCCATAGACATGGATCTGGAGGCACTTCCCTTTGATCATCTTCGCCAGCGCTTGCTTAGCTTCCTCCCCGTATGGCATTTTACATTCGGGTGCGTCAACTCCCCTGTCGTTTTGGACAGTCGTCATGTTTCATCAGAATTATTATCATTTATGTTGAGCATTATGTGCTGACTCTATTTCTGCATACATAACTTATAATCATTTATTCTGCCTCAAGTGACATCATTTATTCTATAGAGACTAGGGTGACAGACATCCTTTCACATTTAGTTAACTCATGCGTGAAAGTAGGTTCCAATTTTGGGGAGGGCTGTTATTGTTTTCTCGGTTGATTTGACTTTACTGTGCATTTGGTTGCTATGCATAAATTTGAGGATTTACATACATACCATTCAATTCCTATGTATTTACATATCTAACACCTAAACTTCAATTTTTACACACACACACACACACAGATATAAATATCTCTCTCTCTCTCTCTCTCTCTCTCTCTCTCTCTCTCTCTCTCTATATATATATGTATATATATACTCGCCATATGATATTTACATATAAATTTCAGGAAGAAGCTTTGGATCATTCTCAGTTTTGTAGAGTTGGCATTAAAAATTTTGTTTACTCGGCAGGAAATTATAAAAATTGTGATTTATTCTAATCGTTTCTTGAGTGTGCGAAGTTGGATGAGGCCGAGGGTTTTATGGTTCATTTATATCAATATTTCAAGCAGAAAGATTGACATATGTGTGGATTTGGAATTTAAGAAATCTGTAAGGACTTAAAAGTAAATGTAGAAAGAAAGTTGAGTAATAAAAAATAAAAACATTTAGTGTGAGTGCAGCTAGTCTGATTGCTAAAGGCCTTGGATGCTATTACTAAGACCTTCGATCTGATCTCCTTCGGTGCTATAATGGCACTCACCCTGCAGACTTTAGTGCAGAAAACAAAGTAATTGTCATTTTTATATTTTTAACTGAAGTAAAAATTGAGAAATTTGTACCAGTTTCTGAATAATTCACCACTTATAGTTTACAAAAAGTATAATATCACTGGTTTACTGTTTCACCTCATAACTATCAGTACTGCTCACCAATGTCTTCAACTAAAATGCTGCAAAAGTTCTTAGTACTATAACCACTATTTGTGTTCTGCAATTTGCTCCCATCACTCTGGAATCTGTGATGGAGCCTGCTGGTTCTACTAATTCTCAATCACCATGTTGAACCTGACACCTTATGTTACTTATTTGAAGACAAGATCTCTAAAGCTGCCATCACCAATTAAAGACTCATAGACACTATTGCCTTACCAACAATCCAACGGATTGTCTCCATGCTTTTCTCTCTAACTTCCGGTGGACACCTCATCTAGCTATTCCTTGGCTTATAATAAATTCATTTTTATATAACTCTCACTAGTCTAAGCTGTACCAAGCAAAAGAAAGAAATCCTCCCAACCCAACAATTGCTTGGTTTAGATCACATGCCATGGGCAAACTTCCAGTGAAGTTCTCCATCCTGAGCCAACAAGGCTCCATATATGGGAGGAAGCCTTAAGATTTAAGGGAGAGCTTCATCATACTTCACCAAGGGGTAACCTTCTGGAGCTCACTGAGCTAATGGGTCTATGGACCTTACTAAACTCATTAAGCTAACCAACTCTGATTCGTTTACGGGACCAGTCATAGTTCCAAGGGGATGTATTCATTATAGTCTAATCATGATATAATCAGAAAGGGTTAAAGTTTCACTGTATATGGTTGAAACGGGCATAACTAAACCAAAACCCTATAAGCACTTCATTGAAGTCCAAACATGATATGGTTAAAGAGGATCTAACCATCATCCTTATATCATAATGACCAGTGCATTAATGTCTCATCTGCAGGATGTGATTAATGAGAGTATGATCTAGAACACAATTCATACGGTTTGACTTATTTTAATTATGTTAACATGTGTAGGATGAGGGCCCAACTCAAACTACATTTCTATTATGACTTTTTAATTCAAATTTTATTAAATTAAAGTTGACAAGGATAACCACCATTGAGGACAACCTCGCTAAAGTCATATTGGAATTTGGTTGAAGACGATACCGCATCCTTTAGTTGTTCATGGCAACTATCTCACCTAGATGCTCGATTTAAGTTGTATTCATCACTTTTCAAGAAAATTTTAAATGTTGTTATCCCTTTTATTTATTTGTTTCAGACAGTATTACTAGATTTCAACATAGGTCCCCTGAATTTCCAATGGCGATGGACCGAAATCCATTGTGTTAAATTGCTCAAAATCTTCATCTCTAATGCATGTCATTGCCGCCCTTTGATGGAATAATCATGACAAGCTTATTTTTAATTTTTATAATCCACCTTTAACATAAGAAGACGCAACAGTCTGTTGTGCAAAACACTGCGGAAAACAAATCACACGACAAGCAAACAATCAAACACGGTGTGATTTACGTGGTTAAGTGCAAATCCACCTATGCCCATGGGAGGGTTTACTTCACTATCAATTGGTGGGGAGAGGAAAAACTACCAAAATAGGGTTATAACTCTATTCACAAAAATCAGCCATAAATCTTTATATAAATAAAGGAGAATTATGCATACAAATTAGGAATATTTTACATATAGAAAAAATCTTGTGATTAAATCTCCTCAAATTAGGTTACCTAATATCAATCTTCATAATATATAAAATATCATGTAATTAGATCTCTAATTAGTTTATCTAATATCAATCTTTCTAATATATACACTTCTTAATATATGATAATTAGATTTAATACTTTTTATATCAATTTCCACCTTATCTTTCATTTCTAGGTAAGTGGGAAATCATTAAAACGAGCTCCAAATCCAATATCAAAACAACTGCACCAAGAAGGTTGTCTACGTACCCTCCCTCTCGAAGGGATCAAGCCTCACGTGGTTCTTCAAAATACTCGAATGGGCAATGAATGATGGGCGTGAATGTTCAACAAAATCCTATGGTAAGAGAACTTCTGGACAAGAAGTACCTTTATGATCAGATTCGTTGAATTATATTTCATAGTTATCTTTAACAAAACATTGTCGTCATTAATTAAGTCCCGAACAAAATGGTACCTCACATCAAAGTGTTTGGTATGAGCATAATCAACTGGAAATGTGGCCATAAATATCGCATGCTGACCATCATAGAAGACCGTGAGAGTCTCGTAATCAACTCTCAAGTCATCAAATAAACTATGCATCCATATCACTTCCTTCATCACCTCTGTGGCTTTCATGTACTCAGTCTCCATAATAGATATAACAACGGTAGACTGAAGAACCACTATTAAACTAACTAGATCTCCTGCTTTTGTGAATAAAATGTCAGTTGTAGACTTGCGATTATCCATATCACTTGCATAGGCTGAATCAAGGTAACCTACACATAAATTATTATTAGATGATTGTCTTTCAAACTCCAAGCTGATATCAATTATACCCCTTTAGATACCTCATAATACTCTTCACAACCTGGCAATAACAACTTCCTGAATCACGCAAAAAGCTGCTCACAACACTAACTACTTATGTAATATCTAGTTTAGTATCAACCATGACATTTTTCAGACTGCCCACTATACTAACATAAGGAATCAATTACATATTCTCTCCTAATCATTTTTAGGACATTAATCCAAACTCAATTGACAATAAGATGCAATGGGTGGACTCATCATCTTGCTTGAGTTTTCAACCTCAAACTTTTTTCAACACCTTCCGAACACATGCTCCTTATTTCTGAACACATGCTCCTTATGAGAGCCAAACTTTCTCGGCTACTTTATCTTTGAGAATTTTTATGCCAAGAATACTGCAAGTTTCACATAACTCTTTCATCTTGAAATTTTAGAAAAGTTATTTTTCATACTATCAATTTTAGTCTGACTGACAGAAGCAATGACCATGTCATCGACATATAGAAGCAAGTAGATGAACTCACTATTAATCAACTGTTTTAAATGTGCACAATAATCGCATAAGCTTCTGGTGTACTTCTGTCTTATCTTTAACTAATCAAATTTCTTATGCCATTGTGTCGACTATTTCAACAGATATAAAGACATGTCCAGTCCATAAAACAAACCTTTTGAGACTTCATATCTAGATGACTACAATATATAGATCTCCTCTCGCAATTCCTCGTGTTTGAGTACAATCTTTACATCAAGCTGCTTTAAAATAAGACAGTATGAATGCTTGAGAACATCTCGCCATAGTCAATCTCTTCTCGCTTTACAATGTCTTTTGTCAGCCTTACACCTCATCTCAGCTCCATGAGATCCTTCTTTGTATAAAATCCTTTGTACCCAATGGCTTTTCTTTATAGAAAAAGCTTCACCAATCTCCAGGTAGCATTCTTTCGAAGGAATTTTATCTCTTCATTCATTATCCCTATCCAATGATAATCTTCAGAGCTCTCCACCGCTTCCTTTTAGTGACAAGAAATTTCAGACTCCATCGTTGAAAGTGCAAATGCAATGTGATACTTAAATCAAGCTAGTTTTGGAATATTTTGGCACCTGCTTTTGCTCCTAACAATAGATTCCTGACTAGATACCTCATCCTCAACATCTTCTCCAAGCTCTTCTTGAGCACTCTCAATAGGTACTTCCTAAGCTACAATTGAATCAAGTTTCTAAGTAAAAATGGACAAACTCTGTAAAACAAATTGAGTTGCATCTAACTCAATTTTCTGCTACATATTTGTGATCTCAATAGAGCTCTTCAAATGCTTCAATTCTCTAGGCTTCAACATGTTTGTCTCATCAAATGTAACATTGCCGCTAATTATAGTTTTTTCTCTCTATTTGATCATAAAGTTTGAAGCCCGTGACTTCAAGCCTGAAGCCAATGAAAATTGCATTTTTTGCTCGTGATTCAAGTTTATCATTTAGCACATTGTAGTAAGCTAGAAACCAAACACCCTCACGTGCTCATAATCTTTAGCAGGATACCCCAACCACATCTCTTTTGGGATCCTCTTTTCAATAGCTGCAGAAGACAAACAATTCACAAAAGTGACAAATATAGTCTATGGCCTTGGCCCAATAGACTTTATCCAATCTAGTATTGAACAACATACACTAAATTTTTCCCACCAAAAACTAATTCATCATCTCTGTCATCATGTTCTGTTGTGGTGTCTCTCGAACACTTAGTGATGCTCCATCCCAACTCTGTCACTCTTCAAATAACACATCTGATATGTATTCACTCCCATTGTTTAGGGTCTGTTTGGGACAGCTGTAGCTTATCCAACTTCTGCTGATAAGCAGCTGATCCTCATAATCTGCTGATGAGCAGCTGATCTGAATAAGTTGGTTGGTTATTTGGTTTGTGCGTTTGGAAAACAGCTGATTTGCAGCTGTTTCTGGATAAATAATAATTTTGCCCCTGAATTGAATAAATTGTTGCGCTATTTGGTCTCTGCGGTTTGATAACAGCTGATTTGCAACTGTTTATGAAAAAATGACCATTTTGGCCACATACAGTTGAGTTGTTCGCAACAGTAATATAATGGAATACATTCAATATACTAAAATCCAAAAAACACTACATAGCATTTCAAAGAAAAAAAAGATATACTCTCCACTCAAGGGAGTCTATCTACAAACCTATTAAAAGTAAAGCTACACATCTATAATTCTTAAGGCCAGTGAGAATAAGTATTCAATGTACCATATGAAGAGCAGGAAAATCAAGTACGTTAACTATAAGTAATTAAAGTCAAAAAAATTATGAAACAAGTCATATTAACAAAATAGAGTGTTGTATATGCAAGAAGTGAGCACCTACACTATTATTGCTCCAACTTGCAGTCAGGTGGAGAGAATTTGAAAAAACTCAAAAATTAAGGGAAATTTACATATGTAGCGCACAATTGATCATTGTCTTTATGCCATTCATGATGAATTTGAGTTGGGTAGGGATCAAAATACCTCCATACTTGATGGGATTGCCACTGAGTTTCGGCGAAAGATGGCTGGAGAAATTTTCTGACATCTTGCATGTGGAGGAAGAGTATTTTCTTGGAGAAGTGGAGCTTTGTTACCAAGAAGAATAGCTTTGTTGTGTAGCCGTAGATTTCTGAAAATCAAGAATGGGAAGAAGAAGAAAGGAGGAAGTTGAAATGGGGAAGATTACAGGAATGTTCTTTATTCCAAAGAAATGGAGAGGTGTTTGCCAAGTAGAGAGGGATCCAGCCAAATGGGGGAGTAGGGAGAAGCGGCTAGGGCAGACGAGCAAACTCGAGCGGAAGATGGAGCTCGGCGCAGCCAGAGCAGGACACAAATTGGAGCGGAAGAGGGAGCTCGGCGTAGCTAGGGCAGACGTGATCGAAGGGTGGAAGAAGGAGATCGGCGCAGCTTGGGCAGGAAGCAATTGAATGGAGCGAGGGTAGGGACGATGCAGGAATGTTTCACAAGGTCAGACGCTTAAAAGCTCGGAGGCGCAACGTAAAATTGGAACTCCGTTTATAAAAACGCGACTCAGCGTTTTCAAAAACACGGCTACACTTATAAGCTGCCCCAAACGGGCCCTTAATCTAATGCACCAATTTTTTTTATTAAAATGAGTCTCAATTTATTTTTTCCAAGTCATGAAAATCTTTGACACCTCACTCTTGAACTTCATGGATACACCTAAATATATCTAAAGTAATCATTGATAAAAAACACAAAGTATATCCATCCGTTGAATGATATCTCTTCATCGGGTCTCAAACATCTATGTGAATATACTCTAAAATAATTTTGTATTGTGAATGACGATACCAAAGAATACATGTATCTTTCTTTCAAAGACACAATATTCACAAAAATCAAACTTGCAGGTACTCGCTCTTTTGATCAATACTTGTTTCACTAAAGCCTTAAGTGAAGGCTCTCCAACACGAGCTAGCTGTATATACCACAATATAGTGGCTCCAGAAGAATCCGTAACAACATCAGTTCGAGTCACCGTACCCTGAAGATAGTATAGGTCATGACGAAGAATTCCATTCATAAAATTAGTACTCCATGGCATAACCTCGGAACTCCTCATCAATAACACTATTTTGTAGCTCTTGGCTTCTAAGGCCCTAACTAACAACAAATTCTTCATGACAATCAAAATATGTCAAACATCGGTTAGGTCCCTCACATTATCATCATACATTCTGATAAAAACACTTCTTCCATTAATAGTACAATAGCTTGATCGTGTTGTCTATTGTCACGGCACCGCTATCAAGCTTTTTGTACGTACAGAACCGCGATAGATAACACCTATATCCTCAATCCATCTCATCATACCTTTCCACAATAAGATTAGCTTTCAACGCAGAGGAAAATCTATTTCACTTCTTCTTAAACTTTAGACAATATTTCTTCTAATGATCACTCTCAAAACAAAAAAACATACAATAAACCCACGAGACTTTTCCCGCTTTTGAGAAGTACCGCCCATGTTGCCCATCTTTTTCCAGTGTTTCTTCTTCTCATATCTGTCATGTTGGGCTGTAAGTGCTTCAGCCAACTCTATCTTTGCGAGCACTTTGTCTACTCAACAAAACTCATGGTTGAGCTACGGCGTAGTCAAATTACCATATATCAAGGCCCCCTTTCCATTAATCGGTGTCATTGTGAAATTTTTCATACTCCCAAAAGCGAATTCAACAAACTAAGTGTATTTTTTTCATCTTCAACTTCCTTATTCAAATTTAATAACCTATTAAAATTTTTATAAAAAACATTCAAGTACTCATTAATAGTAATTCTACGTCTCATACAAAACCTATAGAGTCAACATTTTATATGAAAAGGATTCTCCACGCTCTTTGTGAGATAATTGTTGTCTCACAATCTCCACAATTTTCTTGCAGAAGACTTCTTCATTACCCCATATTTGATCTCCTGCAAAATAATTTTAGATCAAGCCACAAGCACTCTAATTCATTTTTAACCAATCTCTTTCAGGCTTCTCTTCATTACGTTCATTGCTATCAATAACTTCATGCAAATTCAAAAAACACAATGCATCTATCATCTCGCATCAAAAGTTTCATTTGCCGTCAAATCTAGTCATATCAATCTTAACGGGATGCATAACCGCCTGATGAATCGAGACATTTTCCACGTCATGGTAGATGTTAGGGTACCTTACAACCAGTTATTATCCATGACCACCAAATCTTGTAACCGTGTGCCCGCGACTTCATCGGAATCACAACCTCTTGTCAAAATCGCGCTAAACTAGCTTTGATACCAAATTGTTATGCAAAACAAAGCGGAAAATAAAATCACACAAGCAAACCATGAAACACGGTACAATTTATGAGGTTCGACACAAGTCCACCTACATCCACGAGGGTTTATTCTACTATCAGCGGATGAAGAGAGAGAGAGAGAGGAAAAAATGACTGAAATAGGGTCATACTTCAAATACAAGATTAAGACATTCATTACACTATGGGAAACCACTCTTGGGGAATCACTGACATCATGTTTAATTATTTTCAAAATATCTTGTAAGCTTCACTCTCAAACGATAAAAGCCCGTCACTGTCATGTGATAACATTTTAACCAGTCAGTAGTTTTCAGAAGTAGAAGAATATCATTAATTAAAATAGAAAAAAAAATACAAAACTTTAAATTTTAACTCGAAGAAGTTGTTATCTTCATAAGAAAACTAAGTGATTACCTTAATCTGATTCGATATTTGTGAGCAAGAATCTCCTTTTGATTTGGAAGTGTTATGAATCTACAAGGAAAACATAGTATTAGTTGAAAATACCTCACATGATTAGGGTTGTTTCGCATACGATTCACCTATATCCTGCAGCAATAACTTCTTTCTTAATTAGTTTTGCTTGCTTAAAGTCCTTCGCAGCGCGGGCATTGTGCCTCCTTATGACAGCATTTTTCACTTCCTGAGGTATGAGGTTCGATTCCATCTGTTCTCCTGTGCTGACATAGGCAGTAAAGCCATCTCCATCCCCAATAGCCCACTCATCTATCTGTCAAGTACCATTCATTCTTATGCACAATTTAAGTGAATTGGAATTTTCAGTCTTGTTTACTTACAGGCAGAGTTAGCAGCTCAAACTGGACCCCTTCAGCCCATGGTGGTGTAACATCTGTGTCTTCTTCAGTAGTTTGTGGAACAGGAAGGCCATAGAAAGCTAGAAAGCCCTGTAAATATAAATAATGCCAGATTAAACAATTTGCAGAAGCAAATCCATCAAAATTCAAGACTAACAATATTGGAGTTTAGATATTGCACCTCTAAATTTGCTTTCCCAATATTCTGTAAAGTTTGGATGACAAGCCTAGCCGCTGCTTCTGCTTGTTTTGGTGGTGTCCTGGCTTCATTCCATGCTTTCAATAGTTTACTGTACCTGAAATTCTTCCAAAAACCAATCAAATTTCATAGATTTTACCGTCTTTTAGGAAGGTTAGAAGGCTTTCATACTAGTTAATTTCATGGATGTTATTTCTCTAAACATGCAAAATTTTACTGTTCCACAAAAAACTTAATGAATTAGAGACAAAATGGATAGGCTGAAGATAACTTGGACAGAGATTGTGCCTATTTCAAATTAGATTTAACATCTAATTCAACACTAAGAGGCAATTTGGTATCTTATTTTAGATAGGATATTGGCATGGTTTAACTTAAACCCTGCCAAACAAAATTTTGAGAATCCTAAACCCAATTGTTCTGATAAATAACAAATTTATGATTTATTAAATTCAACCCTTCTCATAATTCAACAAATTTACAGATTTCTTCCTCTCGCAAATCTAAAATTTTTAAACAAATACCCAAACAATTTATATAATAATAAGAAAATGTCCATTACAAAGATGCTTTTATAGTAGAGCTGAATACCAATTTATCTGTGCCTTCTCTGAAGAATTCACATAGCGGCTCAGTCCTGGAGGGACCTGCATCAAACAAATCAAGGAGCTATTATTTCTGAGGGCTATCAAATTAAGCTATTAAAAGAAAGAAAGTTAATTGAAATACTCGAGAGTTGGTATGAAAGAGGCGAAGATCCTGCGCTAAAGCTGAAAACCCAGCGGTCTCTGTAACTACTCCATGAGAGCCCAATTCTTGAGGCTCATCAGCTGCTGTTTGCCTTTGGCAAGATCCGTAGAAAAATCTCAGAGCATTTCCCATCTCCTCTCAGCTTTGGGAAGATGAAGTTGGAGACTGGTGCTCCTTTTTGGAGGAAGACCTACGAGTCTTTAGCCAATCAGCAAGGGCACTGACAAAGCAGTGCTCTGGTCCCACTTTATGTCCTTTAAATGTACAGATGATTATTATTTTATGCATCGTTATTTGTTTATTTATTTATTTTTGAAACAGATGTTTACGTACAACTAAGGATCCTTTTGGGCAGCTTGTGTGTTGTAGGATAAGCTGCTTATCCTGAAACGTGGCCCGCGGGCCTACCACTGCAGTCGGCCCGCGACCTGCGTTTAGTATAAAAACTCAAACACAATTTCGAATAAGTTGGTGAAACGCGCGAACCAAACAGTACGGTTGCGTTTTAAAAATACCGCTCGTACTTATAAGCTGCCCCAAACGGACCCTAAATCTGTGTGTATTTATGGATCAATTATCTAAATTACAACAAAAGTAGTTATTAGATATGCATGCACAAGAATTGGGCTGCATGCAAGTATTTATAATGATTTAGGGTCTGTTTGGAACGACCAATTAAAGAATTAAATAAATGAATTTCTTGCGTCCACTTAAAATTTGTCCATTTAAATTAACTAACATGTGATAATTTATTTATATAATAATACCTCTATAACCGGAAGACTATAACAAAATTCTAGTCTGTATTTTTCAAAATTTTATTAAACCCTTCAAGATTTTAAACATCGAAAAGTATCGAGAATTTATTTGTTTTATTTTTTGTTGGATATTAAATTAATTATATAATTGAATTAAATTTAAGAGAAATTTAAGTTATTTTCTCATATAAAAAAAATTAAATGTTGCCTTAGATGTGAAGTCATCAAAACATGAACAAAATCTATTAGGTGTAAAGAATGGTACGGACACTACTTTGTTGGCGCCATGTCCCAATCGCATGGCATGGCGCAAGCATTAACTCATACTTTATTTGACGGAAAGAACAATAAAATTTGTTTATCTTTAATGCACCTTAACAAGTGATCTGCAGTGCTAACAACGACATATGGAGGTCATGGGTATGCTCTAATTAGTTTAAATCATGTAATTAATACTTAATTTAATAAATTTATATTTTTTTTTAAATTAAGCCCGTGGTCATGCACCTTTTGCATGTGGATAATTTTAATTTGGCGACCGTACGCAGCTCTGCGTATGGTTGTCGAAGTGAAAAATTGTTCGCTAACCATTCACGTAAGTGTACATATCGATCAAGTAACAAATAAATTAGAGCCCGAGTTATCGATCACACAAGAATATTAAGTCTTGAGTTAGGTTAAATATCAAATTAATAAGCTAAAACTTTTATCCAATGCTTAAGCTTAATTTTTTAAATATAAGTAATCAATGCAAAGAAGAAGATTTATGTTTTTAGGTTCTCAACATTTTCACACAAGATTTCCTTGAATTAGTATTTTTAGTGAGCTTTAAGTTTTACAAAATATCAAAAATGTTATTGACAATCAAGGGTAAATCACTCCATACCTTTTTTTGTGTTTTTAAGAAGCATGTGGGATTCCCATCATAGTTTAGTGGCACAAACCATGCAAAAATCACAAGAATTCCATATACTTCAAAAGATTGCACTTCCTAAATAGTAATATGCATATTATCTCATAGGAATGTGAGTATCTAACGGTTCCACTAATTCTTCTGAAATTTTCTAGATCGCGATAAATTTTAACAACCAAATGGCCAATTTGATAGAAAACTAAATATAGAAGGTTAACACATCAATTGAATCTCAAGAAAATATGGACATCACTTTGATTAACTTAAAAGCCTAATTTAAATATTAATCCAAAAGGAATGAAAATTTAGTTGCAAGCCATCACAAACACAACTCAAAAGTTATAACTTTATAACAAAGTGTATGAAAAACTATGGGGAAAAAAGAACACTTGGACTATGCTTCACACAATCAGTTGAAATTCTCCTTTCAAAGCGCTCCTTAATCTTCTTCTCACTCCCCAACACCCAATACGTGCACTACCTTAGTATACAAACACTATGACCACTAGACACTCTCTATGACAACTTACAAGTGTCTACACGAGTCAACTGATCACAACACCAAATTTTAAACTTTAATAATTGTTTCTATTGCGGTTGTCGCACCGCAGTTTTGTGGTTATGGAACTGCAGCTCTGGGCTTGGGACTATGGTGCTCAAGGTCAGACATTGAACTCCCTATTTTATGATAAATTATTTTGGTGGCAATGGCCATGTGGAACTCTAGAAGATGACATTAAACGATGAAGTTGAGGCTCTGAATATTTAGCTTTGAACTTTGTGTTCTTTGATTTTTCTTCTTCTCATATCTTCAATGGCGTAAATGTGTTGGATCATATGGTGTTGTGGCGCTGGATTTGAGCACTTATGTGTTGCTATCGGGAAAAAAAAATCATATTCGGATACTCATCACGATGCCTAAGACCAAAGCTACGAGATGCGGCGTTGTATTTAATTTCTCCAGCATCTCTTATATCCATCTACAGGGTCTTTCCTGCACAAAAAATATATAAACTTATGTAGTATATGAAATTAAATATAAAAGAAGACATCTTTATGCAAGTTTTTTTTTTTTTTTTGGTTTGTCTTGCACAACAACAAGCTCAAAGTATGAATTTTATCTTAAACTTCTTCAAACTAGCCCAAGGAAAATATTCACACAAGATAATCATTTGTAGGCATGATAAAATGGCATATTTCTTGCCTTAAAAATCCTATATACCACTAAACTTTATATAAAAAGAAAGGATTTCATGTCAAGAAAACCAGTGTTCATTATTTCATATAGAAGCATTAAGTTTCTTGGTTGTTTTTGAAAATTGTAGTAGAAACTCTTTGACAAAACACTTAAATGTTAATATGTATTATGTACATAAATTTATGTGTGATTTCAAATAATAATTAAAAACCAAGGGAATTTCTTAAGATTTCTAGTTGGAGAAAGCCTATTAAATTATAGTCTAACCTTATCTTAGAGTTTAAAATTAATTAATAAATAAATAAATCCTTCAAATGCGTCTTTACCAACATATATATTGATTATGCTGTATTTGTTGATCGTTTTCTTAGTTACATGCTTAATATTAAGAAATAAAACATATATTGATTGATGCGTGCTAGAAAATTCGCGGCAGCAGAGTAGTAGATTATCGTTTTAACGTGGTACGAAGAATCATCACACACTCAGAAAAGAGAGAGCAACTAATAATGACACCGGGAGGTTTTACGTGGAAAATCCGGAAAGGAAAAAACCACAGTGTTTGATTCAGCTGAAGAGTTCCACTATAAAAAAATAATTACAGTTGCAACCATTTGTCAACTAATAATAGGGTTACTACGTTTTTCCAAATTACAACGTCAAGATGATGATGAATTTGTTGCTAGGAATGAGTGATGACCGATAGGGATTGGTGACGTCCGACCGGTGATGGTCGATGGTGGTTGGCAGTGATCGAAGACGGTCGATGGTGGTCGACGAAGATTGGTGGTGATCGACAACGGTTGTTAGTAGTCGACAAAGATTGGAGGTGATTGACGGTGGTTAACGAAAGTCAGTAATGGTCAACGAAAGTCAACGCTAGTCGACGACGATAGGCGAAAGCCGACAACAGTTGGTTGTGGTCGACGATAATGGTGTTGGACTTCAGCTCATTCTCAAAGCTTCAAAATCTTCCTCAGATCTCAAACTCCGCCCCCAATCTCATGAGAGAGGTGGGGCTCTATTTATAGTGTTCTAAGTGCAATTAATGCAAAAATATGAACCACTTTGATCAAACAGCTTCCTTTGATCAGGCGATACTTAATGGACATTTGAGTGCCTTAACGATGTCGGAATTGAGCAATCTTGCGCTCGCTGGATTCATCTTGTCGAGATGCTCGTTCGTTTGACCTCCTAATATGTCCGTAAAACATCTAAGAGTGGTTTAATGACTTGATCCGAGCTTGATTTGACTCAAATTGGACTAATTTTTGATATCATTGAGCTGTTCTAGTTTAGTCTGTCAATTTGATTGAGTGCTAAAATCAGAGATTTGGAAAACTTTTTATCAATGTTTGAATATTTCTTGCCCAAAAGATTGTCTCGAGATCTGTGCTATGCCTTCAGATTCATGACAAATGATGAAAATTTGTTGGAGTCCTTTCATCAATGACTATAAAACTAGAATAAATGCATATATGAATTCTTAAGAATACAATTCCGCTAATTACATTTTTGTGTGTACATAAAACTCTTTATATATTGGACCTAAAAAATTTGCCCATCTCTACACCTAATAAACTTATTAGAAAGATAAACACTAAAGCTTATATAAGATATTTGCTATAGAATTCAACTTACTCCTCTTATGAAGTCAAATATCTTTTCCATATTAAGTTATGTTTAAGTTATTATTATTACTTATAGCTATTTCTTTAGCATGAATGTACTCTTTCATTTTAGCAATAGTTGTGACTAGCTTGCTATTAATCATAACTTAACATAAGATTGATCAAATAATGATAGATGGTAACATTTTATTCATTAGCATGGATGTCTCCTTTTTAGCGACACGTGGATGATTTACATTGCTTCTACCAATTTGTTAAAAGATTATCAAAATTTCAATTCTCATAGAATAGTTCTTCTTATTGGTATCCTACTAAATATTAAATAGATTTATCATTAAAAAATTTTTAGTATGCTTATTTGTTAAGGCATTTAAGTTTTTCCTTTGTTAAGACATCTTTATCTTTGTTTAACAATTGTAAAAACTATTAATAACCTAAACATGTTATTCTTATAATCCTTAATTTAAACTAAATTTTGATAAATGAGTTTTATTTTACTCGTAGCATTTTCAATCATTACAAATGTACGGGATTATATGGTAGTGATAAGAAGATCGAGTAAATATCACTTCGATATTTCCTTCTTTATCTCATAATTTTCAGTTATTGATCTCATATATTTCCTTTCATGAAGTTGCCATCTACTATTCAAGTGAGTCTAATATCTAGTTGTGGATATCTTGGATATATTGATAACTCAACATGATCTCGCCATATACGATCTCTTCATGTAGGTATTTATAATAATCCAATGACGAAGGAGCCTATGCAACAAAAAAAAGGATTTCAAAATACATGTGCTAGCCACATTATTGATCATGAAAATCATCCAAAACCTATTTGGATTAAAAAAAAAAAAAATCTTTAAGGTCTTTAAGGTGAGCTTACCACCCTTACATGGAGGACCTATTTCTTGAAATAGAAAGGAAAAAATACTAGTAATAAAATAAAATCAAGGAATGTCAAAAACGAAAATCTAGCATGTCAATCTTCATCTTCTTAGGAGAATTGAATACCTTGCTAGTCAAGATGGGTTCCCATTCACCCTCAAATAGATATAGACCACCAAAAAGAATTATAATGTTCCAATGGCTCCAAAATTGGTACTTGAAAAGAGGAAAATAAAAATATAAATTTCATCATTTGTTACGCCCTATTATAACCCCTTCAGCTCACAGGGGCTGCTGAAATTATGACAGACGTGATGATTTCGTAAGCTAGAAGAAACATTCTTTTAAGGCAACCAGAAAGAGTTCTCATGTGCCAACAAAGTGGATGATGTGTAAGTAAAGTGGATTAGTTGTTGATGTGAAAATTAAAAATAATTGGTTGATATATATATGGCTGCCCTGAAGGATTAGCTGTTGATGAGAGGCCCAGCGTAGATGTGAGAGTTAAAAACTGCTTCTCTTCTATTTTTTGGGACATTTTCATACATATTGCACAATTCTTATGTATATACGCATCAAAGTTTTTTATGTTTACATTCATAACACTTAAATTTTTAATATTGCATTAAAATATCACTCTCGTTTACTATATAAAAGTGAAATTCACATTTTCATCCATACACCAAAATATTGAAAATGCAAATATGAAAATAGGCGTTAAATATATAAATACGTACGCATGTAATGCATACAGTAATAAGTGGGCTGTCTGAGTTTATTCTTGTTATTTTTAATTTTTAAATCTTCTAATTGAAACATCATTAAATGATTTTTTTTTATCGTCTTAAAATTATTATTTTTATTAATTTATGCAGTAAATGATTAAAAGATACTAAACATACCTTTAAAATCGAAATAATAAAAAATAAAAGTAATTTAAGAAAAAAAGGGTTACTATTTTGGAGTGTGGGAGATGGTGCAAGTTAAAATCTCTCCATCACTAATTAACTATTAAATTGCTAGCTTGAAAGAATCCGGCTAGAATTTTAGATTGACTTTGTCACTAGATATTAATCTCTTAAAGGCACATGTATTATTCAATGTACAAGAGAAAAAAAAATGCTTATATAGTCTGCTAAAATGATCTTCCCAGCATAGATGCGCTATTCTAATGCACCGATTAGTCACAAAAAGCAAAGCTGATAGAGCTATTGACTTCACAGCTATACCATGATCAGATATGAATAGGAATAATTTCTCATAGAAAGTGGAGAAAAAATAATAGATTTTTATTCCACCAATATCAAATTGAAACAAATTAATCCAAAATACATAAAGATAATCCCTTACAATTCGAGAGGCAGGCGATCTCTCCAAAATCCTACAATTCAAAGTAGAAAATCTCTCACCAGCCCTAAATCCTAAGACTCGTAACCACAATCTCATACACAACACTAACCCTAAGACTCACAAACCACAATCTCATACACAACACTAACCCTAAAAATATTAATCATATTTATATCCTACAATAATAAATAATAAAATACTAAATTACCCTTTTACTAATAAAATATTAAATTCCCCTTGAACACCTGCATGACATAATCATAAATAGGATATTTAGCCCACCAACTTCTTATGCAAATTGTATTTTTGTTCTTATTATATAAAAGCTACACAAGAAATGTTCTAACATCGTCTTCATTTTTAACTGGTAAGCCAAACTGTTGGCCTCAAAATAATTATATCATATTTAAAAATTTTGAAAGCTTCAATAATGTAAGTCAAGAAAAAACTAAAGGTCATTTGAAATGTGAGTAGTGTTTGTCATCACCAAATTGATTCTAGCCAGAGGAAGCCTAAGAAGCAAAATAACTGTCAAATTTCATTTGAAACATAAGTTTTGATGTTAACTCATCTATTATGGTTTCTGAATTAAAAATCATCAGGCTGCATCACCAGTATATAAGCGTATACGGAGTATGTTTGGAACCAAGCTGATCAGGCATAGATGAGCTTAGTCTCTCTTTTAAAACTTTTTTAATCGAGTTTGGTGGCGAACTGAAAGGCCAATATATTACAAATTTTATTCCCAATTTAGACATGCATAAGAACTGAAAGGCCACTATCGTTAAAGAATACTAGTTCATATTCAATACTCTAACGTTTGCTGATTACTTTTTTGGCCATATAAGATTCCCAAAAAGAAAAAAAGAATGACTAAACAAAAGCTATATTATACCTTCTTTATATCCTTTCCAGAAGCTTCCAAGAGTACCTTTTGCACGCATAAAAGTTGAAGCACATAACTTTGAAGCATGACCTGATAAGATGCATCACCATTACCGCCACATTCACTCTGTTCTTTCTTGATTTCAGGATCAAAAGTCGATTTAGATTCTACAAAACAAAACCAAAGCAAAATGATTATTTTCTTTTAAGCATAAGACAAAAATTGATAAAGTGATAGCATTATAACAAAATTTTAACACTCAGACATCTATAAAAAATTTACAGCTCAAACAGAAAGAACAAACACAAAAATGAGAAAGAAAGAATTGAGGAACCTTCGTTGCTTGGATGGGATGGTACTGGTGAATTTCCTTGAAATTGATTACTGGAAACAGAATGGAGCACGGTAATAACTTCATCAATCTAACGCTAAATCCTTGGATGTTATAATGCTATCAAATAGTTTATCACACACCAAAATATGACATAAATTCATTGTCAGCGTCTGGTACTTACAGTTTACTATGAACATAGTTCTGTATCTGAGTAGGAAGTTCTTCCATCACAGTTGGAATTGCTTCAGTTTGCTCAACAGAATTTTCAATTCTTTGACTATCCGAAGGATGTGGACATTTATTTTTTGATTCCTCATTTTCAGTAACTTTGCTTAAAATTTCTGCCTCTGCGGCGCTTTCAGCATTTCCTGAAGACGTGGATCTCTTTTCATAATCCTTTGGCTGTGGCTTCCCAGAACTGCCTCTATCTTCATTATATTCCTGATACTTGGGCAGACGATCTTTGAAGAAGTCTCCACCACTTGAAGAAAATCGACCAAGACATTTAGCTTTTGTTGTAGGCTTCATTGGCATATGTAAATCGAACTCAAAAGATGTATTTTTTCTAAACATTTCATTCTGATCGATGAAATCATTGGTAGCATCACGCTCAGAAGGAATTTTAAAATTGAACTTGGACGTGGGGAATGGATCGAAATGTTCATCTTGAAACATCGCTTCATAACCAGAAGTTGAAGTACTTCTCATTCTGTAGCTGCTGAAGGGATTGGATATAAATATGTTATCATCATCTGTCCTCTCAAATGCAGAGCTGCTGTTTTGTTTTTTTCCCCAGATTGCATCATCTAACCCTGTGAATATATTTTCACCTTGAGAAAACATTCCCACGGAATTCCATTGAAACTTATCACTAGGGTTTCTTTTGTTTTCCCCAAGTCCCATTGGATGTGTATCGAAATTGAGATTGTTTTTCTTCCTCACTGCAATGATGGTCACCGAACTAATGAAGTAAATATCGATCATTTGAATTTAATTATAAATGATTGACGACCAAAAAACCTGTGGCTGATGAGCTTAAATCTTCACTGCAAAGGCAGCATAAAAAAGTGAGATGCATCAAAATCTTTGATGAAGAACTTTCAGGAAACACAGTAGGCTTAAATAAAATTGCAACTAAGGGCAGTAAACCTTAATATATTTAAGTTATCTTGAGAATCTTCTGTTGATAAAAAGCTCCATGTCGGTGGCTTCAACATCCCATCAGCACTGGTATCATCAGTAAAAGCATCGTACCACTAGCATCAGAAATACAGTGCTTAATAAAAAGGTTCCAACATTGTGATGATACCTTTCCCAGATAAACGATGGGCTGCCCTCTTTTTCTGGTGTTGAGTGCATAAAATAAGGAGTAGACGTTGCTGGCCTCCAAATAAATATTACCAAGTAAGAACCAAGAAATATAAATATTCAAATTATTGCAAACTGCAATTTATTCTTTGAGGGCGTGATTAGTGTTTTTTGTTAAAAATTTCGTAAACCCAACAAAAAATATATTGAATTCCCTTCACAAAAACCTAGTAACTCTGAGAAAGCCTTTTTTTAACCACACTTGATAAAACCTTCTTGGTTCATTTCTGAGTATTGGCATAAAAAATAGGGACACCTCACACAATGATGTAAGTAGTGCATGAGAATACAATTTAGAGCGATTAGTGTACAGATCAGAATGAAAGGTACACACGATTTTAACTCAAAACTTTGAGCTCATATTCTAGGCGAACTAATCATTGCTCTTGGCAAAAGAGTATGACAAATGAGAATTTTTTATTAATACAAAATCAACCATTGTTCCGATTAGGAGAGTAGATGTTTTAAATTCGACTAGTGTTAAGAAAGGCAGAGGTAGACTAGGAGGAAGACTTGGACTTGGGCTTATTGTATTAAAAATGATCTTAATTTACTAGAACTAAATGAAAATATGACACTAAATAGGACACAATGGAGAAAAAGGATTCATGTAGCCGACCCCACGTAGTGGGATTAAGGCTTTGTTGTTGTTGTTGTTGTACAAAATCAACCCTTGTGATAAAGTTTTACTGTATCTCTGCCACATAACTCTGACAAATTGGAATATACGAATGAAGCAAAGACTAAAAGAGAATCATACACATCACCCTGGCAACTCCGAGCTCAAGTACTCCAATATCACTTTAGGATAAGATCATCTCTCTATTGAGTTTTTCGTCATCAGTTAAAGCAATACAAAGTTCCTTGGTATTAGGTACAAGAAACGAATCGAAAAAATTTATGGGTTGATTACAAACTTGCATTCAATCATTATGGGTCTGTTTGGCATCAATTTTATCTTCTATTTTTAGTTTTATATTTTCTTTTGTTTTAAAAAACGTGTTTATTTAGTGTATTTTTGTTTTGTTCTTTTTTGAAAATAATCAACTTATTTTTAAAAAGAATCAAAATATCTCGTGTGTTTTGAGTGTTATTAAATACAACCACCAACCAAATAGGTTGTGTTTAAAATCAAAATATAAACAAAATAAAATAAAAAACAAAAACTATGAGTGACCCCAAATGATCCCTTAAGCTTATGGACCTTTATTTCATTTGCTTTCACTCAAATTCCTAGTATCTAAGCTGAGCTTGTGCATCCAATGCTAGGACAAAAATAATGGGAGCAAAGCAGAAGAAGACGTGAAATCAAAATAGCAAAAAAATGTATTAACAAGAGCACACACAATTTTGCATATATTGGTGAGAACCACCTATATCGAAGACCAAACTACTTCAAATATTTCATTAAGCTTCAAAATAGATGCACATCAAGTATTCTCTATAGAAAAACTTAGAAATAAGAATATCACTTAGTCTATATCAACAATTTGTAGGGATCACAACCACTTATTGTGAAGACAAGATAGCTGTGAAGAATAAGATACTGTTGCTACTAATACTCTCTTTGCTTCTCTGATGTAAAAGCTTAAACGAAAACTTCTCCTCACTAGCGTTTAAAGATTCTTATTCTAATTGAACTAAAACTAGCAATGTTTTTGATAAAGTAACAAAAGATTATGTTAATGCAAACATCAAGAAAAAAAAAAATCTCCATTTTAGTTCTTGACTGGCAACCCCTTTCCCCTCTCTGTCACACGTTCTCTAATTTCTTGTGATTATGGGACATCAAACTATCTTCTAAGGCTCTATTTATAGTGACAATAAAAGTGAATTTGCTGAAGAGTTTATTACAAGCTTCTACAAGATACTTAAATATATTTTAAATTCAATAGAAGATATCACAGGATCTCTCAATGCTAGTAAATGATCTCTTCAAAATACTTGCAGTAATACAGAAAATTCAAAATAACCTTATTTCCAACAAAAATGAATTAGTCAAAGCTCCATGTTTAAAGAGGAGATTCAAACATATATTGTGAAAATTTTATCATTAAAAAATTTTGTTCCGTCATTCAATAAACTCCCACTACAAAAATTCCAAATGGGTGAATTGAACTTAAAAGATGGGTAAACGATAGAAAAAGTCAAGCTTCAATTAATTTCTAAAATTAATTGCACTGATAAAAGAAAGTTGGCATATGTTTCTAGAAAACAAAACAGCTAATAATATCATTGTCTAATATAGGTCGTTTTTTCCAATCACATAGTGGATATCATGATTGGAGTAGTAATATTTTCAAGGTTAACTTTGAATGGTTATCATCAAGTAAGAATGTGTGAATTTAACGATAAGAAATATATCTTAAGAGTAAAAAGGATTATACAAGTGGTTGATAATATCTCTTAGATTAATTAATGCAGAAAATTCTCCTATAAGAATCACATTCTTCATCCTATTATTGGAAAATTAGAGTCTGCTTAGGGTGCCTGCAGCTTTTTAAAAGGTTGGTTGAAGCTGTGGTGGAAAAACCAACTTCTTAAAAAGCTACAATTTAAATTATAGAAAATATATTTTTTTTCAAAAAAATCACACATCAATTTTCTTATAGCCACTGCATTTTAACATGTCTGATTAAAAAAAGCAGTTTCCAACCACAGAAATTTCTAGAAAGCAGCACAAAAACAGTTCCCTAAACATAACTAAGGTGACGATTTGAATGTGAAGTATGCAGAAAGTTGTCTCAAACATAACTAGTCATGTATTTCAATGTTGCATACACATACACTAAAAAAGATCAACTTGCGCATTTTAGACCAATCTTTCAAGTTATAAAAAAAATAAATTATATCTAAACCTTGAAAGTCGCATCCTTTGCAATTTGGGATTTGTGATATCAAGTTAAAAAAAATTTGTAAATTAAAACCCATAAAACTAAAAGTTGCCATGATTTGACTAGATTCGATAGACGTTTACTAAGGAATTGACAATAATAATGATACCAAAAGAAAAATATGATTGAACAAAAATGGTTTATCATGAGTTTAAGGATATTAAAAAAAAAACCTTACCAATGCACTCGTGCTTAAATTAATGAATTTTCATGAAAAAACTTACCAGTGCACTCGTGCTTAAATTAATGAATTTTCATAAAATAATTAAGACAGGCTAATCATTGGAGAAAATTGAATGAAGCTGAGCAAACATATTCTAACTATGAATAAGAATTATCTGCAGTAGTACAAACTCTTAGATAATGGAGATGTTACTTTTGGCATAGAGAACTTAACTTTTTTTTGTAGGTGCATCCATACGTTAAGCAATCAACGCCCTAATAACTAGTTTTAATGTGTTCTATTAAGAGAGTGGTAATTAACCATAGGGACTTGTGATTATGAGAAACCTCAAACTTTAGATCTTAAATTCCTTATAGAATGAGGTCGAAATATTTAGGTAGTGTCTTATCTACTGTCTCATCTACTTTTTCAAAATTTAACCCAGAATTTCAACATAAAACTCTTTCTCATTAAACTTCGAAGGATGCCGAGGCAAAAATTTTCAGAGCCTGCAAAGTTAGGCATACACATTGTAAAATCATTGACGGAGTATGTATGCTTGGAGAAGCGTCATGTATGGCATGTATCTCAAGAAAATCTTATAATAATGTGATGTGAATTAATCAATTTAAGAGAGCAATTAACCATCAAGTGTATGTCCATAAAAATTTGTTTTCAGGAAACACATAGAACAACCTGGTAAGCTTAGAGATTTATTCCGCTAAGAAGGTGAGTACGTATTTACATTAAATGGAAACTAGCTACTTGGGTTACGATGAAATTATGTCGTGATTAAGATATGAAAAAAAAGGAGGAAGGAGAGATGTGCAATCCTAAACCCAAACATCCACCCACTGCTTCAATAAAAAAGAGTATACCAAGAGCATGTTGAAGTTTATTATAGTTATGTAGGATGGAGCCTAAAATTAGAGATAATTACAAAGCAACAAAAAATTTTAAGATAGGATTAAATAAAAAATTAATATTGAGTCCGTATCCTTTTTAATGAAATAAAATGCTAACAAAAAATTTTTAAAAATAAGTGCTTTGTATGCCATTTGATAGATGACAATTCTAAGTGATAGGACATCAACCAACATAAGTATAACAATAGAACAATGAAAAAAATGATTTGATGATGAAGCTTTTATATTATTATATGATACATAACTTTTGTGACTGTGATATTTAAATTTACCCAAAGGATAATAATATATGGGTGATATAGGTTTAAACATTTTGGATAAATTATGCAGAAGAATAGAGATATAGATGAGGAAATAACTTAAGAGTTAAAGATGGATTGTTCAAATAAAAATGTGTCTTGGAAGTACATTATGTGACAAGAGGGTATCATAAAATTTCTTATTAAGCCACAATAAGGTTGGAAATTTTATAAATATTTTCAAGTAGTTAGAAGAAAAAATGATGTTGATATCGAATTGAGTATAGCAAAAATAAAGGCATTAAGATAAATGTGAAGCAAAACATGGAATAATAATCAAGAATTTATTATTCTGCAAAAATGGTTAAAGTGACATCTATTGAAGATAAAATAATTGAGAATAACATTTGGCAGTTTAGATATGTACAATGAATGATAAACTCAATAGAAGAATAGATAAAATTAGTATCAGAAAATTAAATTAAGAATAAAGCCAAGGAAGCATGCACAGAACTTATTAACATAATTTATAAAGAATAAGATTTAACACTTCAGAGAAAACAACATAAATATTGTCCCGAACAATTATATTATAATTAAATTCGTCATAAAACAATGTTATCTTTTTCAAAAAATATAAGAAAGACCATTTCATTTAGCAAAAAAAAAAAATTATAAATTTAGGAAAGAAGAATACCCGAAGCCTCAAATATTTCATCCCCTTCCCACAAATTTCTGCATTTAAAATGAGGTCAGTACCATGACAAAAAATAGCTAATTGGTTAATTAACTCTTGACGCAACCAACCTGCTGCTGCCGAAAAAGGTATCTCTAACACCTATGTCAGATTGCTCAATTTTTTCAAACTTCTTAGTGGTTGGGTTCAGGAATGGATATCCCACAAAAGAAAATCTATTATTATGTGATGCCGCATCATAGCTATCCTCAATGAATTGCTTTCCCAAATATCCAAAGCTATCTAGTAGACATCAGAATTGTAAGTGTGTAGTTAAACAGTTGCGATACAAAATCTTCTTAAAATAAGATGAGCAAATGACAGATAAAGAAACATGATTATCACAATTGAAAAAGATTTTATTAAATTTAAGTCACAAGAGAATTTGAATGCCAGTCTTTAGAAAGTATTGCTTCAAAACAATAAAGGCTATATAACAATATAAGCATGGTTTTAACTTGTAAACATTTAAATATAAATATAATTGTATGTATGTATATATAGATATATATATCATACATACATACATACATACATACATACATACATACATACATACATACATACATACATACATACATACATACATACATACATACATACATACATATATATCTATATATATACATACATACATACATATATATATTTAAAAAAAAAGCCCAAGGGCAATTATATTAAAGAGAAAAGTGTACAGATAGATTGAATGATAGAGCTCAAATAGGCACCCAACCCAAACGGTACAACACAAAAAAAAAAAAAAAAAAATTTAAAAACCCAAAAGAAGATGGTACATATAAGATCAATCGGGTCGACCCAATTTAGTTATGCCTCTGCCTCTAGTTCTCGAAAGGAAACCAACTAATAAATTGGTGAGATGCGTACCATTGCCCGAGTTAACCAAAGTATCATCCATTAGATTCCTAAGCTAGTAGATCTCCATTCTTCTTTTTTCCTCCTGAAAGTGTAAACATGTCATTCATCATCCGAAGATTGTTGCTTATTCGGATGAGATGGTAGTGTAGCAGTAGAAAGATTGTCAATAGTTGTGCCCACAAGAGGTTCAAATGTATGTGAGGTAAGAGTTGTCGCCTCTACCCCTGATACTTCCTGAAGATGGGGAGCTGCAAGTTTCTCCTGATTATCAGTCCGTGTAGGTAGGGGTCCTTCAGTACTGCTTTCAATAGTGTTTAAAAGCGTAGGTTGCTTAGCAGGGTCATCCAACTTCTCATCGATCGCAGAAACAGTATTTTCAAGGAAAGGGTCCACAGGGGCAATAGAATCAGACACTAAATTCTGTCCTGTGATAGTTTTCTCTCCATGTGGAATAGATATATCCTTAGATCCATCCTTATTCACTAGATCTTTAGATTTTAAATTAGGATGAAGCTTATGACATTTATCAAGGGTATGCCCAAACATCTTACAATGAGAACAATAAGAAGGTCTATGCTCCATGACTATTTGTTGTAAATATTCATTATGAGTTGTGTCCAACTAGACTTCAATAACATCAGGTAAAGTAATATCTCTTTCCACAAGTATTTTGACCACAGAAGGTCTAGGTTTGGTAAGATTGAAAGTGGATAAATCTAGCTTCATAGGGTCCCCAAGTCTGACACCAATAGAGTAAAGAACCTGATGATGAAAAAAGTAAAGCTTGAGACCAGGTAGACTAAATCATACCGATACGGTAGGAGGTTCATGATACGGGTCACAATTTAGAGACCACTTAAGTAGTTTCACTGGTTTACTGACAATGTTAAGATATTTTTTTGGAGAAAATTCGAGTATAGTCTTCAGGCACAGTTAACTGAATCAACACATGTCTCCCATCCATGAGTCCTACCTTCCACTTTCCTGCTAATTTAAGATCATCAAAATTTTTCCTGATAACTTTCATAGGTAGCAGTCCCCACTGAAATTTTCCAATAAGACAAACTTGAATTTGTCAGTTATGGTTGAAATTTCTAACTCTGAGAAAAAAAGTTGTCTTCCCACTTTTCCTGCTTGCATTCTTAAGTAGCTTCATTGGTTTACCCGCAATGTTAAGATATTTTTTGGAGAAAATTCGAGTGTAGTCTTCAGACACAGTTAACTAAATCAATACATGTCTCCCATCCATGAGTCTCGCCTTTCACTTTCCTGTTAATTTAAGTCATCAAAACTTTTCCTGATAACTTTCATAGGTAGCAATCCCCACTGAAATTTTTCAATAAGAACAAACTTGAATTTATCAGTTAGCGTTGAAATTTCTAACTCTGAGAAAAAAAGTGCAGCCTTCACACTTTTTCCTGCTTGCATTCTTAATAAAGAGTCAGTCACATATACCATCACGATTCTCCGTATGACTTGAAAGGAAACAACCGTCGTCTCCCCTGAGGATTACCCACCACGTAGGCAAAAGAGATTTTATCAAGTTCCACCGAAGAAGACGGAAGCTCCATCACAACAAGGAGAAGCCCTGCCAAGTTGGGCTGAGGGAAAAAACGACGAGCTAATGAGGTTGGGGCGAAGCTGCGCAGAAGAAACGAACCGCAGATGTCGAAACCGCCGCGGCAATTTCAACAAACTGTAGCTCGACGAGGAAAGCAGCGCTGATAGAAACGAACCGAAGATGTCGAAACCGCCGCGGCAATTTCAACAAACTGTAGCTCGACGAGGAAAGCCGCGCTGAAAGACACGAACCACAGAAATGATGCGGAGGAGACGATGAAACCGAAGCCTTGCGTCGCTGGGCGCGAAGTATGAGACGACGATCGCAAAGGAGATTGACGAGCACAAAGTCCTTCATCGTTGTCGAGCACGGATTGGGCAAACCCTAACAGAGCAGTTCACCACCAACGTGTACTTTATATATATATGGAGGGCCCAAAAATGACACCCTGCCAACGCCAAAACCACAAGGGGTTCCAAAACTAGAAAATACATTAAAGTACATTAGAGACGTAATGTAAAAGTCTAAAAATGTTGAAATACATAGTATCAGGTACCTAGAGAGCAACCCAATTTAGTTTTCCCTCTGTCTCTTGTTCTAAGGAAGGAGCAAACTAATAAGTTGGTAAGATGATTGTCATTGTCAGTAGTAACCAATGTATCATCAAAAATGTTGCCGAGCTGGAGTCAGCCTTCATTCTTTTTCTTCCTCCTGGAATAGACCTATCATTCCTCTTTCGAGGATTGGGTCTTCTGATCTTGTTCTAAAGTGTGTTGGAGATGTGCAGATAGTTGAATATTAGAAGCAACTACATGTTGTATTGGTTGATCTGTTATTGGATCAAAAAAGTCCTCTCGTGCTTCTTGACATGTATGTGAGTTTTCTTCAAAAATAGTGGGTGGTATAAGCATAACTGAATCTGTAGTTGTAGTATGTTGTTCTTCTTCAGGAACTGCGGTGTTGGGAAGAGGATCGGGTTGAATCTTCTCAACAAGAATAATAGGTGGTTGTTCTTTAGCAATATTCGACCTTAAATGAGAATGCAAACGATAACAAATAGTAGAGTTGTGACCAAACATACTACAATGAGAGCAATCTACAAGGTGTGATTCGATTTCAACCTTTTGTCAATGCCCGTTGTGAGTGGTTCCAATCCACACCTCATCCGGAGCTAGTTGAGTGATATCCCTCTAGTTGAGTGATATCCCTCTC